AAAAAAAAAAAAAAATGGTCTCCACCTCCATTCACGCCCCTTGACGTGATTGAAGTAATCTCAAATTGTAGGAGAATAGGAAACCCTAGTCTCCGTGTCGTACAAGTATCGAATTGCTACGCCCAAGGTCGAATACGCCAAATGTTCTTCCTGGAGAACGGTTGAGGGAGAGAACTTGAGACTGAGGATTCCAAATTTTCTGGTTCCGGTGCTAATTACAGGTTCAGATTGATGAAGAAAGTTCGTCGGTGGCAGAGGATCGTGATCCTCTCTTTGCTTTGTGTTTCCGTTTTTGCTCCAATGGTTTTCTTCCCCAGCACACACAAAATGCTCACTTCCGCCGGTAATCTTCTTGATCACATATTCGTTCAAGTAGATGACTCAAATATTACTTTTTGGATCGAAATCGGATGCTTTACTGCTAATGTGATTTTCTGTGTTCTTTACCAAATCTATCAATCTTCATTGTGCATTTTTTTTTTTTATTTGATTCGGTTTATCATTGATTAATGTTATTTCTGTGCATTTGTGAATCTGTTTTGGCAGGTCGGAAAGAGTTTATTGAGGATTTAGCCAGTATAGTATGGACATCATTCTCTTGAATCTCTGTTTTCTGATTTACTTATCTGTGTTTGATTTTAAAACTCGGATTTTGGTTTGTTTTGGCGCAGAAATATAGGTCCGATAGCTTAAGACTTAAGCTGATTGAGCAGGTAGCTTGAGGTTCTACATGTTTCTCTGATTTGTTATTTTAACATTTCTAAGTTCGTATGAGTGTTGATTTGGTTTGTTTTGTGATTTAGGAAACTAGCAAAGTTTTGAAAGAGCCGAAACTAGTTGTTTTCAAAGAAAGGGACTTTGATTCTGTGGTTAGTCACAGATCAGTTGAGAATAATGATTCTGAGCAATCTGAGAATACTGGAGAAGCTGTTAACCTTTTAGAAAGGAATGGTCAGTACTTTCTCTATCAACCCTCCACTCCCCCACAAGAGGTATTCTTTGCTATTTTACACCTGACTCTGATTTGAATCTCTTTCCATTTTCAGAAACTAACCATGAAAGAAAAGAAGACAAAATTTTGCAGATAACAAACTCTGTTCAAAAGGTGTGTGTGTGTTTAACATTTCCTCAGGATATATAACTATATATTTAAATGCACTATATGCTGTTCAACTGATGGTTAGAGTGTCTTCTTAAGATGTCTTTCTCATTATGTTCAAACTAAGTTGAGAAAAGAAATTGCTCATTTGCAATAAGTTTGGAAAAAATATCAGCAAGGGAGTAAAAGGCATCTATTGGCTGAGTTCAGATAAATGCAAAACAGGGGTGATACAGAAGTTTGCAATAATGAGTATTCTTTCCTTCTATTTTTTTCCCCTGAGTTCAGATATCTGTAAAACAGGGGTGATACAGAATCAAAAGCCATTTGTCTTATTTTTTCTTGAGCAAATTGATAATCTTACTTTTAGAATTGTTAGTTATATTACTTTGGTTTTGATTGCAGGAGAAATACAATCAAAAAGCTGTTCGACATAATCAAAATGTGCAGCTTCAATCACAGAGAGTAACTGATGGGAGGGTAAAGCTGATGAGAGATCAGGTCATAAGAGCGAAAGCATATTTAGCTTTTACACCACCAGGTAGTAACTCTCACTTTGTAAAGGAGTTGAGAACACGAATTAAAGAGGTGGAGCGGGCAGTTGGTGAAGCCACTAGAGATTCAGATTTACCAAGGAGGTAAAGCAATTACTCTCTTTGGACTGTTGTTTTTATTTTGGCCACCACTGTCATTTTAATTCTATAAATAAATTTGAAATCTGATAGTGAACTTGTAGAGCGATTCTTGATAAGCATTCACTATTTTGCTGTAAATAGTTAAAACTTTATTTTGCTTTTAGATCTAAAGATCAGTGGAATTCACAGTGCTTTGCAGAAAATGAGATCCATGGAAGTTTTGTTGTCCAAAGCCAGTCACATTTTCCCAGATTGCTCTGCAATGGCCACGAAACTACAGTCTATGACTTATAATGCTGAAGAACAGATTAGGTCACAGAAGAGTCAAGAGTCGTTTCTTCTTCAGCTTGCTGGAAGGACTACTCCAAAAGGTCTTCACTGCCTTTCGATGCAACTGACTTCTGAGTATTTTTCACTTCAACCTGAGGAGAGGCAGTTTCCTAACGAACAAAAATTGCATGATCCAAAGCTCCATCACTATGCAGTATTTTCTGACAATGTACTGGCCTGTGCAGTAGTTGTAAATTCTACTGTCTCCTTTGCAATGGTAACCTGCTCTCATTTTTTTTCCCTTTTATTATTATTTTTTTATCAATAATTTCCCTATCATTTATTTGCTCCATTTGACTTCCAACGTATCTTGTGTATTTTGCTGCTTATAGAAACGAAATGATTGTGGCATAGAATATTGCTATTTATTATTAGTTGTTGCTCAGTAACATCTGGCCTAAAGTTAAAATATTTGAAAACTGGGGTAGTACCTGATTTAATGCAGCATTCCTGGGATCACATTTCAACTGGCATGATATGGGTTGCATAGGGGAACTCCGTAAATCTTTCATAAAAAATACATAATAGGACAATTTTTGCTGTTTATTATTCCAGGATGACTCCTTTACTTGGAATGTCCTATCATTTTTAATACTTTCCTGTAGATGTACAATAGCTTGATAATTTATATTGGTCAACTTTATGCAGGAACCTGAGAAAATTGTTTTCCATGTGGTGACTGATTCTCTCAACTTGCCGGCAATCTCAATGTGGTTTTTGTTAAACCCTCCAGGCAAGGCTACAATTCAGATCCAGAGTGTGGATGATTTTGAATGGTTGTCCTCCATGTACAATTCAACAATGGAGCAGAAGTCCCGTTATCCAAGATATACTTCTTTGCTGAACCACCTTCGTTTCTATATGCCAGAAGTCTTCCCTGCACTGAACAAGATTGTTTTCTTTGATGATGATGTGGTAGTGCAAAAAGATCTTAGTAAACTATGGAGCCTTGACATGAAGGGAAAAGTCAATGGAGCAGTAGAGACTTGTCAGAAAAGTGAAGCTTCATTTTGGCCCATGCACATGCTTATTAATTTTTCAGAACCATTTGTGGCTAAGAGGTTTGATGCGAATGCTTGTACGTGGGCATTTGGCATGAATTTGTTTGATCTGAAAGAGTGGAGAAGACAGAATTTAACTTCTCTATACCAAAAATATTTGAAATTGGTATGTTCTTCGGAATTTAACTTCTTTCCTTAGTATGTTCTTTTCTTGCAATTGCAATTTGTTTATTTCCATACAAAACATATTCCATTTGTTATTCTCTATTTCACCAAAGATACTGTGTTTCTCTTTGAACTGGGGTCTACAAATATTATTATTACAAGAGCCTGTTGATATAGAAGCCAAAACCCACTTATACATCTGGTTTAAACTTTTCCTTAAAATAAATATTTTTCTTGTAATAGGAACTATTGCCCATACTTGACTTATGCCTTTGAAATATAGCCTGTTTTGTGGGATTATGTAGCTACTTCTCCCATACTTGAGATGAAAATATGTATTAATGTTTTGGGGATGAATCCCTATCACTGTAAAACGTGTATCCTGTCCTGTGACCCTGTCCTATAAATTTGCACCACATTTTTTGTTGCTGCTGATGCCCATATGATGTTAACCACATTTTCACGACATGGAGGATGGTTGGCATATGAATTAGTCATAATTTGTTTTATGTTTTTATGTAATGCTAGTTCAAGTGAGCTTATTGTTAAATATTTTGTGGTTTTATTAGCTTCAATGATCTGCTTCTGTTTTGTTAAAAAAAAAAAAAAGATCCAGTGGAAAAGAACATTAGCCACCTTAACACATATAGGTTCTTATCCTTGTTTTCATGGTGGTTTGCTGCAGGGACTAAAGAGGCCATTGTGGAAGGCTGGGAGCTTACCCTTAGGTTGGGTCACCTTCTACAACAAGACAGTGCCTTTAGACAGAAAATGGCACCTACTTGGGCTAGGCTATGAATCAGGTGTCAGGCAGGCTGACATTGAGGGTGCGGCAGTCATCCACTACAATGGAATCAAGAAACCGTGGCTGGATATGGCAGTCTCTGAGTATAAGGGCTATTGGAGCAAACACATGAAATTCGAACATCCTTACTTGCAACAGTGCAATATCCATGAGTAATTGACAATACCACAGCATTTCGAAGTATTGAATTCTTGATGCACATCCATCATTAATTGTTCCTCTGGAAACTACTCTAGTTTTCCTGATTTTTTCATGTCAAATTCAATTCATTCTTTTCCAATAATTTTCTTGCCCTAGATGACTAGGACCAGAGTTGTCGAACTGATACAAAACAAGTGTTTCTGGTGAATGGGATGTTGCTGATACATATTTGTACACAAATTATTTTACCCAGTAGAAATCAAGCTCGCATTCTTGAATATTCAGAGGGGAACATGTTTTCCATCAGTTTTAGTGCCTTGTAGGCTTTATGTTGCTGTAGCATGTTCGAATGGAATTATTTGTTTCTACTCGGATGCTAAATTATTGCATGTCTTTCTTTTCCTTTCATTTTAAGATGGAATATTATTACTGAATTATTATTTGAGTTACTCGTTAGTGTCTTTTTTCCAAGCCATAAGACTCATGACATTATACAGGACTAGATCAAATGAAATGCCACGTGGAGTAACGTGGTTGGGCCTGTGTGGATGTGGATATCGAATGAAGGGCTATCTCTGAGTCTGATGAGTTAGGATTCTGGACCAGTTATTTTCTTTACAAGTATATACGATAATTTATCAGCATCCTCAGAACAAGTCCTTTTGTCCTGTGCTCATTTCTCATTTCAGAGTCCTCCGACCAAGAACAGAAATGGCCACCATCACTGCGAGCATCACCCCCACCTCCTCCATCATCCGGGCAGCTCTAGTCCACAAACCATCAACAAAAGTTGCATCCCCGGCTGTTGTTGGTAAGGTTTCTCAAACTTCCTTTTCTTTTCCCTCATATGGAGTAGCTGATTCCTGAAATTTGGTTGAAAACAAAATCACTGCAATATCTAAAGCACTGAATGAAGGGTGTTGTTTAAATGTGGCTTTGATCTAAGTTCTGCTTAAAAATTTGGTTCTAGGGTTGCCAGCAATGGCAAAGAAGGGAAAAGTGAGATGCTCCGTGGAGAATAAGCCTGCTGTGGAGGAGCGTGGCTCAAACATGGGTGTGGGTGCAGCATTACTGGCTGCAGCCTGTGCTGCTACCATGTCAAGCCCAGCCATGGCTTTGGTGGATGAGAGAATGTCTACTGAAGGAACGGGGCTTCCCTTTGGGTTGAGCAACAACCTCCTTGGATGGATCTTGTTTGGTGTGTTTGGACTGATTTGGGCTTTTTACATCGTTTACACTTCCTCCCTTGAGGAGGATGAGGAATCCGGCTTGTCACTCTAAGCATAAGTCGCTGAAGTGCCGAATCCCTCTCTCTCATGGTGCTTGCTGCAAATATCACGCCTAAAAGGAATGTAGAAAACCCAAGAGATTGGATCCCTCTTTCCTTTTCTGTTCACTGTGTGCATTAGTATCTAAATATTTGCTTGTTAGTACCATATTTTTCCCTTTTGAGTTCTATTTGTTACGATACTGTGCTAGTTCATCTCTATGATGTTCTTCAGTTAGTTGACATGAAACTGCCAAGAATAGGATAGGCCTCTGCCCTAGTGGCATGAGCAACACATGACGAAGAAACATTGAATCAAACACAGGTTTTGGCATGATACCAACTGCAGAAAGACAAAATCTCCTTCATTTAGTCATTCTTAGCTAGTTGCTACATAAAACTAGAGCGAAAGGCTTAGCTTACCGTCAAGGTCCGAGTTCCTACCAGAAACAACAGTAAAATGATTAAGGCCCACACAAATCCCTTAAACTGCGTACCGGGGAGAAGGGTGGTGCCAATGGGGGGAAAACGTAAGCTATTCTATTATAATTTCGGAGGAGGATTTTTGTTTGTTCCGTTGGGCTTCAATAGCTTCCCTGTTATAAAAAAACACAAAGGCTAAGGTGAAAAATTAGACAAACAAAAAATGCAGTGAAGAATAGAATTAAAATCGAAGGGCACAAGTTATTCACAAGAGGCCTAGGAGAGCTTATTAATGTATGTGACATAAGTTATATTCCTTTTTATATCCACAAACTAGTACATGTAGTGGAAGCATAGTTAATAAAGAAAAAAATTATTTGGGAATGAAATCATTACCGAAAAGCACATTCAAGCTCCTTGCTTTTAATATCCAACATCCAACCTTGATAAAAGACATCAGCAGCTTTCTTGAAATCCTGAGAATATATATCAACATACTCAGATTACACTCAGAAAATCTCAACATAAAATCCAATAAATAGAAATCAGCCTTACTTTCAATAACATCAATGCTGCACCCTTCCTATGGTACGCTTTTGGCCAGTCAGGCCTGAGTAAAATGCAAGCTGTAGCTTCTTGTAATGCAAGCCCTCCTTCATTTAAGCGGGTCCAACACAAGCTTTTGTTGGAGCACATAGCTGCGTCTGTTTGTTTGCAATGATATGCCTGCAATATCATTCAAAAGATCAATTCAAGAAGCTGAAAGTTCATAAAAAACATAAGGATATTAAATCTTACAAAACTTATTTTCAGAAGACTACATCATGAACATTTTGGCATTCCTATATTGTTTATAGGACATGAACTTTTAAGAGTGAGTTTGCAGAAACATTGAAAATTTAGCACCAAACAGTGGCAGGAAGAAAAGAGAGTGAGCATTGTTTTGCACCTCAGTGTACCATTTGATGGCACCATGATAATCCTTCCGGTTGAAAGCCTCTTCTCCCTTCAATTTTGCCATTAGATAATACTCATTCAACTTATACTCTCTCTGCAAGATATTTAAGGAAAGTAAATAAGAAAGTCTGACTCAAGATAGGGAACCTATTGCCATCATAAATTCATAAGTATTAGAAAGCCTCAGAACAGTGATAACAACTCTCA